ATATCTAGTGTAGTTATTTTGTCCTCTAACCCTATTACCTGACCAGACTGATGTACTGATATATAGATATCTAGTGTAGTTAGTTTGTCCTCTAACCCTATTACCTGACCAGACTGATGTACTGACATATAGATATCTAGTGTAGTTAATTTGTCCTCTAACCCTCTTACCTGACCAGACTGATGTTCTGACAGATAGATATCTAGTGTAGTTAATTTGTCCTCTAACCCTATTTCCTGACCAAACTGATGTACTGACATATATATATCTAGTGTAGTTATTTTGTCCTCTAACCCTATTACCTGACCATTCTATATACTTATTTAAGTGTAAAATACGATAAATATGGCCTTAAAATCGTTTTCGTTTTCGTTTAATACAATGCAAATAACATAAATTGTATTGAGATTCAGCTTTAAATAGAAGAAACGGAATGTCGATCCGTTTGAGGTTGTTCGATGTTTCAACTTTTCGCCTCTTTTCAATTGCAAAATAGAGATGAATGCATACTCAAATGAATAAGCCTAAACAAAACCGGTGTCTATTTTTAACATCATACAATCCATTTGAAGTTGATAAAGAGTTCATCCGTACCTCGTTCAGCAGTGGATTACTCGTACTGAAAATAAAACAACGAAGGAAAAAAGCTTGAGTGTTAACGGTTATTGATTAATGTAATACAATATCCAGTATTACATCCCTGTGCAATAAATACGGCTGTACTGTTGTCAAACTGTTATGAATTGATAAGAGCTATATACATATCAACGGCAATTTAAACAATAAAAATAGAAACATATAACTGTAATTTTTTATCATAATGACACAGATAACAAATTTTACATCATGAAACTTTCTTAAAATGTTACATTGTTTAATAACCATGAGATCACTATATATAATGTAGATGAGTATAACGTACCTTGTAAACGTTCACAGTTCCGTTTTGAAAGCCTAGCCACATTCTGTCACCGTTCATGGTCATGGACACCGGTGTATACTCCTGTGTCGGTAGGAGGGTACACATTTGGACACAGTCTCTTGACAGAAGCTGGACACACTTACTGTAGACCTCAACGATAATGATATTATCAAATGAGTCGAAGATAAAATCGTTGATTGCATAATTCGTTTCCGGTTTGTAGGTAGTAGTATCAAACTTCTCCTCCCCTGACACGACCTTGCCGTTACCTAGATACCGTAATCGTAACGTGAGGTCAGTATTTAGTAGAACCAGATGACTGTTTTGTTTATCTGTTAAATTGCTCACTCCTATAACGACCCCTGTGTTACTGACCCTTACCCTGTACGGCCCGACAAACAAAGGATCCCCCCGTCTGTCGTAACGAGCCCGGTCCTTCTCTTGTCCCTGTGAGGAGTATCGCACCAGTACTCTCTCACTGTTGGCAGTAACGTTGTAGTCACGACTATCCATCAGTGTCACATAGAGGTCGCCACTGGGTGTCGTACATACGCTAAAAGGGAACAACTTCCCCGTGGAGAAGACTGAGGTGGCATTTCCGCTTGGAAGTATGACCTGTTTAATATCTCTATCCTCAACTCCACATAGTAACAGTGTATTGTCCTTAGTGGTTGTCATGCCTCTCACACCGAAGTAAAATGTCACAGTTTTGTCTACGTGTCCGCTTTTGTCTATAAGACTTATTTTCCTCTCACCGTGACATTTTACCCACGAGTTTCCGTAAGAGTCATTACGCATAGCACTCACATAATTTGATTCAGAATATTTCAAGGTAGACTCCAAGACAAGTTCCCTACCCAGACGTATGTCGGTACCAACGAAATCGGAACTTTTATTCACAGAAAGAGTCATATCAGCCACCACCTGGGCTCCTTCTAGTGTCGCTAGTTCGTTCAGTTCGGCCGCTGTGCCCCCGAACATGATTTTCAGCTGATGAATATTCACTTTACCGCGGGTAAATTCGATTTCTGCAAGTTGGGGATACGGTTTTCTTTGCCCGTCAACATCTTTAAGATTTCGTGAATCATTCACCACTGCTAGAACATCTTTTTCGTCAAGCAAGCGTTCTATCTCGTTTCTGTGTCGTCTCACGTTTTCTAATTTTGTTGAAATAACATCGATCGCGTCTTGCAGTTTAACACAATTACTGTGAGTTTGAGTCTCGTACTGCGATATAAAGCTATCAGTCATTTCGGTAACAGTTTGTATGAGAACCTCTTTTTGGATGTTAATTGACTTGACCCTTTCTTTTTGTTTATTGTCTTGTTGTGTTTTTAGTGACCTTATCTCCTTCAAATCAGATTCTAAGTTCGCCTCAAGTTTACAATCTTCCGTTTCCTTCGGCTTGAGCTTTGCTTTAATGTCAATTGCAATTTTATTCGGTTTTTCGAACACGTGACCTTTATGTTCTTTGTCAGTCATACAGTCAACACAGACCAGCGTGGCACCACACGTAATACACACTGAAACTATCGAGGAACCCGGATGTTTTATACATTCCATATTTGGTACATGTATATCCACGTCAAAGGTTGTAATGATACATAAAACCAAGCTTACGTGTTATTCCAAAAGTTAAACAGCGTCGACAATCAAACATCAGGGACTGTCTTGTTAATGCGAAGCGAATTACGTTTTTAATATTTGTGTCAATGTACATATGTCGGACTGTTGTATACCGTAACATTGTCGCCGCAGTTAAACTTTCGTCTTTTTCGATCTCCGTAAGGTTGGCAAAATTATCCTTACAGAGAATTAAACTAAAATATGATGCATAGATAGTTGATGAATGAGAAGAGCGAAATTAACACTTAGCGGACTTGATTTTATTGGCGACAGAAGAAAGTTTAACCGAGCGGTAAACAGCATATTTCCGGGTTTGCCAACTAGCACGTGTTTGTAGATAGTTGGACAAGGCGACAGTTGGAAGAAATAGTATTTCGGAGAAGCTTTCAGTGTCGTTTGTATGGTGTTAGAATGCCTAACCTATCGCATGGCGTCCCAGCTTTTAGTGTCGTCGTATGGTGTTAGAATGCATAACCTATCGCATGGCGTCCCAGCTTTCGGTGTTGTCGTATGGTGTTAGAATGTCTAACCTATCGCATGGCGCCCCAGCTTTCAGTGTTGTCGTATGGTTTTAGAATGCATCACCTATCGCATGGCGTCCCAGCTTTTAGTGTTGTCGTATGGTTTTAGAATGCATCACCTATCGCATGGCGTCCCAGCTTTCAGTGTTGTCGTATGGTGTTAGAATGCATAACCTATCGCATGGCGTCCCAGCTTTTAGTGTTGTCAGCAGCAGTCAACAGCAAATCTGCCTTCCACCATCAGTATCCGCATCTAGCAAGAAAAAGACACGGGTATAAAATAGAACAGAATAGATAAGATGCAAGGACATTGAAGCAGGACATTGTGGTTTTCTAAGTATAACATAATTTTATTATTTATACTTTTTATAGTTAATCATTGCATATGTAATATCAAATCTACATAAGGATGTATAAACTCAATACTTAAATACTGTAAACGTTAACAAATTTGCGGTAGTCTTATTTTAGCGGTTTTTGTACTTTAGAGAATGCGCTAAAATATGAAAGTTTTTGTTGTATATTATTATATTTTGTGGGTTCTCGAATAAACATATGCACAAAACTTAAAATCCGATAATGCGCGAAAATCTGAATTAGCGGAAAATACGATGCTTACCTAATGCAGTATAAAAAGGAACGTAGGTGAGATTCCATTTCATAGGAGATATATTAAAACTAATATTTTATTTTGCTGGTGAGATATATGTTTTTATAATCATAACGAGTTGTACAAAATTACGCAATATTGATTAGAAAAAATATAATCTGCGTGTATAACGTAAATACGATTTGCATGAGTTAATCAAGAAAGCAACTTTTTCTCATGCTTAAGTGAAATAAAATGTTGATATTCAAAATCCATTTGTGACGTCACTATGTAATCGAAGGTCCGTGACACAATTAAGTTGTGACGTCACATTTGACAGAATTGCAGCCATGTTCAGTCGTTAAGTATTGAAAAGGCACACAGTGACAATTCCATATTTGCTTAGTAAGGTATTGTTTGGATTAGCTAAGAAAAATTGGAGAAATGCTATTATATTTCTGTTCAGTGAAGTATTTTGTGTAGGTAATCGAGCCTCCATACCGGCCCTGCGTTGTTGACAGTTGGCCAATGTTTCGCGTCTTATCAAACTTCTTTCCCAGGTATCTGTCCGCCTGCCATAACAAACGTTATTGGAGAGGACGGTGGCACTAGTTGCATTCCCTCCCTGTACCTCCCCACGGCGCGCACAATGTCTTCACATGGTTTAGCATTCTCCGTCTTGAACACCATATACATTTGCCTTCATTCTCGACATATTTAGTATCACATCTACCTGTTCCACTGATATCTCCAGTATCTTGTCTTTTTCGGGTATTTTCATAGATTTCATTTGTTTTTCTTTTCCAATCTGTAGGCGTATTTTCCTCGTGTTATTTTAGGTGCCTGTTATCTTCCTGATTAAACGTTACGTGTGAGCAGGGAGGCGATTATCTCTCTCTCTCTCTCTCTCTCTCTCTCTCTCTCTCTCTCAAATTACTTTTAATTCAATTTCAAACAATAAATAAAAACATATTTCAAACATACAGGGTGTATAAACGATACAGGGAAACATCTGCTACCATATACACAAAAAAACAAGAAACATTAACGTTAACACTTACCTTTTATCGTTAGGTTGGGTTTCAACAAAATTGGTCTGCTACGCTGGTATGTATAAGTATATATCTACCTTAGCTCCCAGTGTCTAACTGATTACGTCTCGTCAACATGTTCTAATACACCGAAAATGCATTTATGGATATTGAATTATATAATATAGAAAAACGATTTTGACCTTGACGGCGATGTATGAACTATTGTACTTATGTGGCTTTACAATAGCCCACGTAGAAGCGGCCCGAACTGTCAGCGCTAAATATAGACCAGGTCCCTAGATTGGAAGGAGATTATCAACTGACTTAATAATAAAAGAGACAAGTATATCATCCCTCACTGGTCTCTTACTCCTCCACGACGACAGGGAGGGACTTACTATAAATAAAGAAGGAGGGACGGATTTACCTAAAGCTGTCATCATGACCCGTGTACAGCTTATCAATGCACAGTTACGCCATGTTTAATAAATATGTTGACTTCATAAACAATACATCATGTTCGCTCACGATCAGAAACAGGGAGATACCAACAAACATCAGACACTTTCTGTTCAGGCATGTCTCGTGAGGAAAAGATAACGCTGAACAGTAACAAATGACAGAAAGCTCGAAGAGACTTACCTATGTGATAGAGTATCATACAGAAGATGGTGACGGGAAAGATTACAACCTGGACATCTCACGTGCCCAGGTGTGAATGTGCTAGATGCCACATATTTGGGATCTCTATATTTCTCTCTACTTCAAGCCAACATTTATTTCCTAGCGTGACATATACTCTAAAGTATGAGTTTTAAACCAAAAACCGACAGAGAATAAAACACTGGCCAATCACAGTTAACACCATGTCCAGTTGACAGCAGACAAATCACCCATCAAATGTCTTATCAACCACCAACATGCTGGAACCATTACAGTATTAGTATCTTCTCTCTACTTCTAACTAACTTTTATCTCCTACCGACTTGCTTGGCCTAAATATTGAACGATTACCAAGGTGAGGAAAGCAATGAGTTCTGTCCCCAGGCCGGGACAATATAAAGTCCCTGAAAAAGGTAGCCGTTATTCCCTGCTCATCGTTTAGCATTAAGGGAATGGCAACAACTGGCTCACCCTTTGTCAGAATAATGTGACTTGGGGGAATGCTGTGCCGTATGCCTTCGGCATGGTAATTCAGTATGATAGCACTATAAACGTCGGCATCAGATCAGCGCTCTAAAAAAGAGGTAAGTACCCTAAACATACCCTACCGCTTACACACATACACATTATGAACGCCCACACAACACACATGGAGGCACGCCCTTAATTGTCCTTAGCTGTTTTCCTTAGCCAACCAACCAACACAAGCCTATTTTTCATTTTGCAAACCTTTATTATTACTACATACGTCCCCGACTTGTCAGAACATGGGCGCACAGAAGGATTTTACGCATCATGTGCTCACAGTATGTTGGAGCATTAAAGGTATACCCTTTGATCACGTTAACAATGTGTTATTGCGATACTCATCCAAACGATGCTGATTTTGACAACCCCTTTCATAACAATGACATAGTCGTGTGTTACCTATACTGATCTGTCTATTACTTGGTCTTGTGTTACCGATAATAATTTGCTACGATTAAATTACATTACTGTTAACTAGCCATGCGTTAACATACTAATTTCCCTACTTGTCCATTTCAGTGACCTGGCCGTGTGTTACCGATACTGTTTTGACTACCCGTGCATTACAGTGACCTAGCCGTGTGTTACCGATACTGTTTTGACTACCCGTACATTACAGTGACCTAGCCGTGTGTTACCGATACTGTTTTGACTACCCGTACATTACAATGACATAGCCATGTGTTACCGATACTGTTTTAACTACCCTTACACAGTGACCTAGCCATGTGTTACCGATAGGGTTTTAACTTCCTGTTCATTACTGTGACCTATCCGTGTGTATTACCGATACTGTTTTAACTTCCCGTACATAACAGTGATACGACCGTGTGCTACCGATACTGTTTAAACTACCAGTATATAACAGTGAACTAACCGTGTGGTACCAATACTGGTTTGACTACCCATACATTACAGTTACCCAGCCGTGTGTTACCGATACTGTTTTAACTTCCTGTACATTACAGTGACCAAGCCGTATGTTACCGATACTGTTTTAACTACCCGTACATCACAGTGACCTAGCCGTATGTTACCGATACTGTTTTAACTACCCGTACATTACAATGACCCGACCGTGTGTTACCGATACTGATTTAACTTCCCGTACATAAGTGGCATAAACGTGTGTTACCGATACTGTTTTAACTTCCCGTACATTAGTGGCATAACCGTGTGTTACCGATACTGTTTTAACTTCCCGTACATTAGTGGCATAACCGTGTGCTACTGATACTGTTTTAACTTCCCGTACATTAGTGGTATAACCGTATGCTACTGATACTGTTTTAACTTCCCGTACATTACAGTAACCTAGCCGTATGTTACCGATACGTATTTTAGTATTTGTACTTTTGTTACCTACATTTGTATATCGATTTACCTTCCCGTTTAAGACTTACCCATATCATTCAATACCAACGCAGCCTGTATTTTTCTTTACTCTTACCTTATTTATATCAGGTTTTATAGGTGTCACTCGTTCTTGATTGTGACCTTTTTCCTCTTCTATCTTGGGTTTATGTCATTAACACTTAGTTACCTGTGTTACATGTTTGTACAAATTGTCCGATTCTACACATATGTAATATTTAAAATATGTACATGGATTCTTCCTATTGGATAAAAAGCTAACTGAAGTTGCTGTTTATATTTATAACTACTGTAAACTAAATCCGTGTGCAAATACTTTCATTTAACACTTCTAAACACAACCGGTTCTTGTCCCTTTATAGATATGAAGATATGACGTGTTTTCTCGGTAAGGATGTTACTTCCTCGTACCTTTACCCTGAAGAACAGGGCCGTTATATGAATTGTCGATAACTATATCGAGATTCGTTAAGTCAAAACTGACAGCGGAAACCATTATGATTTGGGCACGGGTTATTTACCAGACCGATATGCAATGACTTGATTAGAAACAATTAACACATTCCCCACAGCGACTAGTACCTGTTTCATAAAATAACATAGTCACAATATTGATAATATTGACCAAGTATTAACGATATGTTTGATATTCGCTTGTCCTGTCAGCTTAAATTGTTTCTGTGTCTATCGTAACTGCTCAACTTTTATTTTAATCGTCAAGGCAGTATCAAGTTTCACTGGAAATTCTTAAATAAAGATCTTCGTTCACTACACTTCATCTACTCTGTACATATAGACTTTCCCAATTGGACGGGTATACTACACTCGACAAACCCTGTGGGTCAGATACACGACAGCAGACATGCATTTGTTTTGAACATCGCAAAAGGCTCCGGAGAGTCCATTGTCTAAGCACAGAGATTCCTGTTAACGTATACATCACGATGCATGTCCTTCAACGCTTCAGTTATTTATCAATACTAATTGTTATCTGTTGGAATTATATTTCGTTTGTAATTGTTTACGACAGTTTGAAATATCGATTGAAAACACGAAATTTCTCCTTGTATGTGTACACCGTACTAACACCTAACCTGGTGTACACGGTACAGTCTTGTGGTCTGTAAGATTATTATATTGCTGGTTTTTAACCTATCAAATACATGATATAATGTATCGATCTGTTAAAATAACAAATGAAACAAATTGTAATTTTCAGAATTCAAATGTTGATTTGATAAAACCTTTCTCAACTCTGATTTACTTACCAGAGTAAGTTCATACTCGAACAAATAACTGTATGTCAAGTGTATATATTCATGTTTAAAACATGAAATTGAATATATCGCAGAAAAGGACATTTTTTGTACTGGGAGTGTATCATAAAAACTGACTATGCCTTATGAATATATTATACTGTACTGCAATTGAGACTTTTATAAAATCAGTTCTTGTTTGATATGCTTTATGTTAAACTGATTAAGTACTACACAGACATAAAAAGAAAGGGAAGCACTATTTTGAGCTGATTATTTTGATACAATTATTATCAACTTATTAATGTAAGTCTTGGTTATTTCATTTGTTACCAATCAAGATAAACTGCCGCGAGTCGATTTTATTTGACATCAACGAAGATAAAGTCGACTTTCCTAAGTCACCTACTAGTTATTTGGTGTGATCAACGGTTCTGTCAAAAAACAACATCGACGCTCTGTCGCATTTAACTTGCAAACCGACAATAAGGTTAGCGGGGATATTATACCGTGCATCGGTTAATGTTCTGGCTGGTACCTCCAAGTTACACGTCAGATGGTTACGTTTGCTAACACGTCGCCCAAAACTAACCCGGCCGTTCTGTAAGGCCACAATGTTGGGTATATTCGATGGGCATTCCAACACCTGATTTATTTTTAATTAATTTTGTCACTCACAGGAACAATACAATTGTAAAGATGCATTAGCCGTATTTGGCGGTCTTCCCAATCAACAGTAACATTGGGCCTGTGACAGGTGCTATTCACAAGTTATTTACGAAAATGCTTAGCGTATCACTTGGCAGGTATACTTCTTCCAAATGATTGTACTACCAAAACGATGTTCTAGTTTTCATGGATATAGAGGAAATCTGAAGGGGGATTTTTTTTTTAAAGTAAAATATTGAATAATGATAAAGTTTGCTAATGAAATGAAACTTTTAGACATTAGTACACCGTGATGGGCTATACTTTTGATGATAGTTACATAAGTGGCAATCTAATTTGATCACAACACTGTTCCGGTAGTATGCTCTTATTGTACGAGTTTTTGTTAAATACAGCAAAGCCATGTGCCAACTTACTTTCTAGTTATATTAGTTTTTATCAACAATCTCATTTTACCTTGATGTCTCTGTTCCTTTCAGCATTACAATCAACCATCAAATAAGAGTTAATTGATAGTTTTTATCAGATCTCTGTTCAGCGATGCAGCCGCTGAGTTTTTACTAGCACTCTCATTTTACTTTATAGTGTCTATTTCCTCTGAAAATATTGCCAACCGTCAAATACGTGTAACTTGATATTTGCACCAGTACAAGGAACATGTAGCGAACTTCCACTGTAGCGTAGCATTCGATAATTATCATTATTCAAAGGAGATGTAAATCGCGGCATTTGATAGATAAGATAAAATTAACTCTCTATATTTTTGTCCGATTATTTTATAATGTCATTTTCATTTCATAGAATTATTCCCCGTTACATGACACAATTCAATTAAATGTTTTCAAACCGCTCACGCAATGTAACCAACGAACGAATTAAAAACACAGTCCCGGCCTTTGTAGAATCATAAACAAACAACACGAAATCCAGGTTTATGTTAATAAAATTCTTTATTAGTAATCCAACTATACAATAGTGAAATTGTGTTATGTCAGTTAATAACAGTGCTGATTGTGATATTAGTTATGGGCGGACTGGTCGAGTGGTTAACACTCCGGCCTTCCACGCAGGCGGTCGGTGTTCGATCCCCACAGTCGTCGTACGCGTAGAGTATTCAGATAAAGTGTTTTTCTCCTGCCAACACAACTCCAACAACCAAGATGAAGAATAAATTGGTCTGGGGTGGATGTAGCATTCAGGTGAGGTGGCACAATAAATGACACCGTAGGAAGCACAGTCCCACTACAAACAGACCACAATACATCTCCAGCACATGTGTGTATGCCTGTGTGTGTGCTGGAGATTATTGTGGTCTGTTTTGTAGGCATACACACATAGGGAGATATTAGCCAGGTGACTTAGGCCTAGTAGTTAGCGCCTGATAAGGCAGCTCCTGCGAATTCCTCAAAATTGTATTGAATAATGTATATGCTAATTTAATTGATTGTATACATTGTATACTTTGTATTGTAAGGCGCTTTAGGGTTGCTTATTCTAGTAAGAGATGGGGCTATATTAAATGTTCTATATTAATAATTGTATACTAAGTTAATTATATTATAGCTTCAAACATTATCAATGCAGAAAGAAATACGTATATTATAAATTTTACTTTATAATAGTGAATTTTATTAAATCAATGTATATGAAATTGTGCAAATCATATTCAGTATTTTGCGGTGAATTTAAACAACCATCTGTATATAATCCCAAAAACGATACAAATGATATGATAACATATTTTGTAATTCCATTGTTTTTTTCAAATTGATTATTCATTGACATCTGCTGTTTCCTTTTATCTACCCAGAGAAATGCTGATAGATAGGTGTCGAGTCTAGCCATATTATACACTGTTCTGTTACCCGGTATGTAATACGCTGAACGATAGATATTTAATTTTAGCGTACCTTAGTTATTTTAATCTAGTTCTACAACCTTATCAGTGTATCTATTAACAGGTGTTTGTTGTAAAAAGTGTATCCCCTGATCCTATTATCCGACAAGATCATGATGATAAATAGTTGTATGTTTCAACATGAGTGTATCCCAAAATATATCTACCCGGGCAGGTGCTGATTACATATTCAGAGGGGTACAAATATATATTAAGGGAGTGTGTTGGAAAATTTCCCCATTATCATCCACCTGGCCAGATGTACGTGACATGATCGATAACAATTAACAGTGATTATGAAGACTGTGATTGATTCACATGTGGTACGATATTACTATTACAGCAAAATAGTTTGTCACATTTGAGTGATATATCATACATGGCATAAATATAAAACCATTTTACTATACTGCAACATAATGTTACATTAAATACGTGTTTACATTTACAATTACATAACATTTGAAATCTTTAGATCTAAAAAAAAATACCGACAGTGACCTACCAAAACCAAAAGCACTATTAAAACCCAGTCAACTCTCGTCAAATATGAAACCATTCGTTTTGTCACTTTATAAGACTTTTGGCCAGTGTTCGTAATACATTCATGAATCTCCTACAAAATATGACCCGTTTGAAAAATATAAAGTACTTTATATATTAATTGTATCAGAAAAAATACTTTTCGTGTCTTTTCTGGTTACTTATTTACTTTATATACTTAATTAAGCGTTATATACGACAAATGTGATTTAAATCTCGTTTTCGCTTTAGGTTAATTTAATAACACTTGCAGAAACTTGATTAATTAAGATTAAAATGAAACGTTGATCCGTTTGAGGTTTTTCAATGGTACAAAATGTTGCCTCTTGTCTATTTATGACAACATTCACTTCCCTTGACGATAAAAAATAGTTCATCACAGGAGAGTTCTAAATTGATGAAATTTAAAAAAGGGAGTTATATCAAATTAATGAAATGTCGCCCTCCTACCAGTGACAGCAGATGCATCCAGTCATGTGATACAGACATTGGGTCACGTGATACAAACATCTGGTCATGTGATACAGACATTCGGTCACGAGGTGCAGACACCCGTTCAGCAGTAGATCACTTGTACTGAAAATAAAACAATGAAGGAGACAAAACGTTAGTCCTAATGTTAAAGGAGTCCGGTCTTAAATTCGTGTACAATAATACTAATGTACTGTTGTTGTGTTTATTATATACGTTGCAATTAAAAACCCGTTATGAACTGATCCGTTTACATATCAGCGGCCATATAAATATAAAATAAATAAACATCTTTACCAAAATGACACAGATATCAAATTAGACATCATGAAACTTCCTAGAAATGTTACACTGTTAAATAACTATGAGATCACAATATAAAATGGTTTATTTGAGAATAACTAACCTGGTAAATTTTCACAGTTCCGTCTAGAAACCCTATCCACATCCTGTCACCATTCATGGTGATTGACATCGGTATGTATTCCTGTTTCGGTAGGAGGGTAGCCAAGGGGACGCAGTCTTTTGACATTAGCTGGACACACTTACTGTAGACCTCACAGAAAATGATATTGTCAAATGAGTCGAAGATAAAATCGTTGATTGCATATTTCGTTTCCGGTTTGTAGGTTGTAGTATCAAACTTCTCCTCCCCTGACACGACCTTGCCGTTACCTAGATACCGTAATCGTAACGTGAGGTCTGTATTCAGTAGAACCAGGTGACTGTTTAGTTTGTCTGTATCATTTGTCACTCCTATGACGTCCCCAGTGTTACTGATCATCACCGTTGATGGCCCGACAAACAGGACATCGCCCCGTTTATCGAAACGAGCCCGGCCTTTCTCCCGTCCTTTTGGAGAGTATTGGATCAGTATTCTCTCACTGTCGGCAGTAGTGTTGTAGTCATGTTTATCCGTCAGTGTCACGTAGAGGTCGCCACTTGGTGCTGTACAAACGTATTGAGGATACAATTTCCCTGTAGAGAAGACTGTGGTGACCTTCCCACTCGATAGTAGGATTTGTTTAATATTTCTATTGTCACCTCCACATAATAACAGTGTATCATCACTAACTGTTGGCATACCTCTAACACTGAAGTCGAATGGCACGGTTTTGTCTACGTGTCCATGTTTGTCTATAAGAATTAGTTCTTTTTCATCGTGACATTTCACCCATGACTTTTCATAAGAACCGTAACACATTCCAGTCACAAAACTTGATTTAGAATGTTTGAAGGTAGACTCCAAGACAGGCTCCTTACGCTGACGTATGACGGTACCAGCTTGCACTCCCTGAAGTGTCGTTAGTGCCTTTATTTCAGCTGCCTTACCCTCAAACACGAGTTTTAGCTGATCTGAGTCCAATTTTCCAGGGGGAAACTTGATAGCGGCGTGCTGGGGATGCGGTTTTCTTTGTCCGTCAAAGTCCTTAAGATCTCTTGAATCGTGCACCACTGCTAGATCATCTGTTTGATCAATGATGCGTTTTACCTTCTCTCTATGTTGTCTCACGTTTTTTAATTCTGTTGAAATGTCATTGATCACGTCTTGCAGTTCATTACAATTATTCTTCTTTTGATTATTGTATTCTGATTTAAAGGTATTCGTCATCTCGTTAACGGCATTGATTAGAACTTTCTGTCCTGTTTCAATTGACGTGGTCCTTTCTATCAGGATTTTGTCCTGTTGTGTTTTTAGTGTCTCAAACTCTTTTAGTTCCGATTCTAAGTCAATCTCCAGTTTATAAACTTCTGTTACCTTCGTCTTGAGTTCAGTTTTGATTTCATTTGAAATTGTTTTTGGTTTCTTGAACACATGACCATTGTGAAGTGTGTCGGTCATACAGTCTACACAGACCAGGGTTGTATCACACGTAATACACACCGATATCATCGGGCTACCCGGATGTTCTTCACATTCCATGTTTGGTATATCAACCGATGAAGTTTGACGTTTTAATGCTACTTGGAAACCAAAATATGTTGACCAGCACCACCAAATAACACCAATTATTGTCTGTGTTAAGGCTCCCTATCGCGTGTTTCTTTTGATTAATTTACCAGAATAAAATCAATCGTCAAGGCGAAAGTCGGAAAATATCACAGATTGCCAAATAGTTTTGTTTCAAACAGCAGACTCCAACTTCTCCGTGCAACATCAACGTCTGCATCTTGAGAAAAACAATACGTGGATACAAAAATAGTACAAGTTATGTAATAATATAGTATATAAGTATAAATAACATTGCACATGAAAAATCAAATTAACATTAGGAATTGGTTTTTTTTAACACATTATTGGTAAGAAGATCGGGAATCTAACATGAGTTACCATTGAATATGAGAATTATGAAACTGGTCTTAGCTTGTTTTAAATATGTTTATCACAAAATAAGATTTCCGATTTTTTTGATTTTTTTTTTAAGTCTGTCACCAAATAAAAATAGTGACATTTTGACTCCAAGTCTCCATAGTGACGTCACTGAGCAAGTACAAATATGTGACACAATTAAGTCGTGATGTTAAGTTTGAAATAATGGTAAAATACAGCCAATACAGTTACGCTAGTTGATAACAAATGTCCGTTCTCAAATCAGGTAAGTAAATGGAAGTTAAGAAAACGAAAACAGACATTAATTTGGTTAGTTAATTAAACAAAATTAAAAACACAGGAAAAAAATTATGATATTTAAGGTAATAGGATTGTGTCACGATTTCTCAGTAGAATTTCTTCAAACTTTGTAGTTATATTGCTTTGAAGTAAAGAACATTTTGTGCCACAAAAAAAAAAAGTTGTCAGAATTTTAAGAATTTTAAATGGAAATTTATGTAAAAAGGAGTAAATTTTGAAAAAAATGAAATGAAACAAAAAATAAAATGAAACACAATTTTTTGCAAAATAATTTCAATAAAAATGATACTGACATAGATTAGTATTGCATTAGTGTATATCAATTTCATAAATGCTGAAATTGTGTAAAATTAATTATCTATAAACAATTAAAAATTGACATTTTATAATAAAACCATATGCACATAGTAATTGCATGTAAGAGTTATCGTTCTTGAAAAACTTCACAGTAGTGAAATACGTAGCCGGTTTCCTGAAGTACAGACAAATGGACACGTGTGAGTCATTGATAAAAAACCCACCTGAATTAATGCCTTGAGTGGTTTCAAATACTTCATTATTGAAAGATGACACGGTTTTGTCAATAATAAACATACAATATTCATTAGTTTGATATTAAACATTAGAATAACGGAAACTATGATACTGTCTCCATACATTGGATTTTCAACTAGGGATATACTTCCTATTTCCGTTTATCAATACACTCCTATGACCTATGTAATGGTTTAGATAAGAATAACCTGCCAAATTTTCTAAAAAATAGTTTCTTGCTTTAACGTAATCCGCATCAGGACAAACACAATACAAACTGTGTTTTAGTAACAGATAAATCACCACACATCAACTGTCTTATAAACGACAAACTCGAGCCTGAATCATTCTGCAATATTTATCATCCAATGTGACCAAAACACACTTTTGTCCAAACATATGCGTACAAAGGGGTCAATAACTATTTTAACAAAAGGTATCACGCAAAGTGTGGACACGATGCTATTTGATGCTTTACTGGGTAACACGTCAGTAATGAAGTTATCAGTGTCTTATTGCAATGCTTCACTAAAACTCTCACCCTTATTGCAGACTTAAACAAGTGACCGATGGGTCTTTGACAGATTAACCTTGTCGAGTGAGGGAACACGCAGCCATGTGTATAGCTGATCGTGTCCACGTATAGTCTATCAGAAGACATTCATATTGACTGAGATTACTCGTTCAAAATATAAAAGCATGCACTCCATTTGCGGAGATAAACGGTTATTTACAAAGAAACAAAAGTATGTTAAAATTTAAGGTACATACGTCATGTTGGTCATTAAATTACTTTTCCATGGTGTTCTATCTGAAATGTTTCGTTCTACGCTGAGGAAATACGGCAGTGTTTTTTCTATTAAATAAATATACAAGACCACACACTTGTGTTTTTCTCATGAATCAGCAAACACGAGTTTATTGTTATTATTTACACTCGTGCGCACAATAAATGAGTGCTTTCTGATTCGTTAGATGTGTGTTCTTGCTTTTATCACATATAATGTACCTTCTGTATTTGGTAGAGATCGATTTTATAAACATTGATATTTTTGGCAAAAACCGGGAACTTTTCAGTTCGCCATGACAAGGGGATTCCCATACAAAGTAGTTCCGGCTAGTAGGTAAATACAAAATTCCGTATTGCACATGTGCAGAACGTTCTATTTCATGGTCTGAAAATTGCTTGTAATACTATAGCAAGATTCAACAGGTATGTGATACAACCATTGCTAGCTCTATGTCTACTTTTATGTGTTACTTTGTTTATGATGGTTGTTAACCTACATAATATGATCAAAACGACAATAGACACGATAACGTGTGTCTGATGTAGTACAGAAAACCTGGACTCCGCCGGAGTAATTTGTACCGTCATCAGATATAAGTGCTTAGGTAAATATAGTCTCTTGACATTGCTTCCGTGTCAAGTACGTCCTAAATATCAACCTTGATCAAACATAGTATTAATCTAAAGATACAGGACGCCCAACAGGTTATTGCGGGTATTACTGATAAGTTAAGAGTCTTGTGCCAAACAAAAAACAAACAAATGCCCCAAATATATAATCAACAAATAATCTCGATTCAGAAAATCTATAAGAGTTTACTTCCTAGGGGTATAAATCATAATTTTTCATTTTTAAAAGACGTTATAACGTAGGTGTTATTTCCCTATATAACCTATGTAGCTAAAGTGCCTTGGTTTCTTATCTTCTTTGTTGACGAGGATAGTAATTGTGTTGTATTATTGTCGCAAAAGTTTCCAATGTGGTATAAATTCCATCCTATCAGCAATGTTGGATCCGCAGGATATAGTTAAGTTTATAACGACAGGGAAAACAAGTGTTATGACAGCCGCTGATTATAACGAGGAAAACAAGGATGGTAGTCATGTGTTATGACAGCCGCTGATTATACATGTAACTAGGGAAGCAACGGTGGTAGTCATGAGTTATGACAGCCGCTGATTATAACATGGGAAGCAATGGTGGTAGTCATGTGTTATGACAGACGCTGATTATAACGAGGGAAGCAAGGGTGGTAGTCATGTGATATGACAGCCGCTGATTATAACTAGGGAAACAAGGATGGTAGTCATGTGTTATGACAGCCGCTGATTATAACTAGGGAAGCAAGGGTGGTAGTCATGTGTTATGACAGCCNTATGACAGCCGCTGATTATAACTAGGGAAACAAGGATGGTAGTCATGTGTTATGACAGCCGCTGATTATAACGAGGGAAGCAAGGGTGGTAGTCATGTGTTATGACAGCCGCTGATTATAACATGGGAAGCAAGGGTGGTAGTCATGTGATATGACAGCCGCTGATTAT